TTTTTTTTACGAAGAACTTTTATACATTCCCATTTAATCCATACATTCCTTCTCTATCTCCATCCAGTCCTACAGCCCTAGTCCAAGCCATCAATCATGTCTGGTCTACACTCCTACAATAGCTTCCTAATTTGTTCCTACTTCCGCTGATTTCCCTATAATTCATTTTCCGTACAGAAGCCAAAGTGAGGTTTCTATGGACTCATATGAACTAATTTTCAGGAAATAACTGGGAAAAGAAAAACAAAAAAACCCAAAGTGTTAATGAGCGCTATACAGTATGCTTTTATGTAGGAAAGAATACATACACGCCAAGAGAGAGGGAAGAATGGGAACAGAGTGGCAGGAATCAAAGGGAAACGGTCTTCTATATATACCTTTTTATATAGTTTAACTTTTCAATCATGTTTATGTTTTATTTATTCAAAATAATATTAAATCAGCAAGAATGAAGGGAAGGGGTTCAAAACAGACTATCATTAGAAATACACCTAACTTTACCAAATTGATAACATAACCGCAGAAACAAACAAAAAAAGTAATCCTAGGCTACAGTTCTGACTCTATATCCTTAGTCGAATATACAGTGAACTTTTAAAGAATACAAATAAATTTTGAATCTTTTACTTAGTCGTTGGAAGTGGGCTTCTTGTAGCAATTCTGGAACTATTTGGAATGTATTAAATGACTGTGCAAATGAGTACCGTACTGGTGTTAGTGGGAAGCAAGTTGTCATTATGGGAACGGAACACGAAGATAAAATATGGAATAAGGAGGAAAAGAACCCTGGGGTGTTGGATTAGAATCAGAAATATCAATATGAACTCATGATTCTACACATGTATGTACATACACACAACACCAAATATAAATACTATATAACTCTGAAGTTTTTAAAAAATCGCTTATCAGGTGAAATTATCTTCCTTCCTTATTTATATCTAATGGATTGATCTGTCTAAATTTCCCTCCTTTTAATCAATTCTATATAATGCTGTCAAAATGTTACTTTTGTTTATTAACCTTTTAGACTATGAACTTACAAAGTTCAAACTCTTCAGTCAAGTATTCATCAAGCATTCAAGTACCTGTATCACTTTGCCCTCAAGATATCTTTTTAATTATTATTATTATTATTATCCATAAATATTCTAATTATGGACTTTTCCAACTGAAATCTAAAAAGTTTAAAAGATGAATAGAGTTTTGTTTGTATATATTTACTATTAATTAATGGAGGGAAACATGTTAGCATGTAATAGTCAGATTTTAAGCAAAGGTTATTACCTAAAAGGAAAACAATGTTAAACAATGCAGCACTGTAATGTTTTCAGTAAGTAGTAATATGAATAACAACATAAATTAAAATACCTGAGTCTTGGTTTTTATACTCTTTGGAAGACAACGTCCAGGAGAAGCAGCTTTGACCTCATCTTTCAACTTGGTAATATTTTTTGTCAAAACTTCTAAGGTTTTCATTATTTCTGCTTTATCTTCAGACTTCATTGCTTTGTTTTTCTCTAGTTTTGAAATTAACATCTGCCAAATTTTTAAAAAGAGAAAAACTAAGATACACAAAGTAAACATAGCAAAATAAATATAAAAATAAGTAACTACTAGTTTTAGTTTACATATTCATGGCAAGGCTTACAACCACTAAGACAGCAGAACAGATTTGGTGATGCTATCTCAACTCAAGCCTTAATCTTGGCACATTTTGTGAAGAATTATATTGCCACTGGTCTCTCAGAATGTAAGTTCAACGAATACAACCTTAAGAAATTCAACTGAAAAGCTGTCAATTTGAAGCAATACTTCAAAAAGTAATACTTTTACTTTCTAATGTATTTGTGGGTATTATGGTCTCTAAGTATTCCCACTCCAAATGTAGTCTACAACCCAGAGAGACGCACAGAAGTTTTATGGTTCCCTTCACATAATGAGATCTTAAAACAATTAATTACTTTCTTTGTCACAGGGAATAGGAACTGGCTAACGTATAAATGGTATCGCCAACGTGGACAGGAAACAAAAGATAAACAAGGTAATATGGGGTGAAAGATACCACATATTATAGGTTTTATGAGTCAAGGTAGCTGCAGGTTTTGGTGTCAAGTACTGTGATTTCTTTATCAAGTACTGTATACCCAAATTTAAATTAGAAAAGATACATTTTAAGCCAATATGTAAAAAGTTTCTGTGTTTTTAATATTTTGAGATGCCATAACCTTTATTACGAGACATAATCAGGAACTGGCACTAATTAAATGTCATAACCTAGAGCAACAATGTACAAAAGAAATACTGTAAGCCACATAAGTAATTTTACATTTTCTAGCAGCCACATTAAAAAGATAAAAAAACATAAAACAAAAAACACCCAACCAGTAAAGTTAATTAATACTGTATTAAACTCAGTATATCTAAAATGTTATAAGCTTCAACAAAAATTATTGAGACATTTTACTTTTCTTCTTTGTATTATGTCTTTGAAATCCGGTATGTATTTTTTTAAAAAAAAATTTTTTAATGTTTATTTATTTTTGAGACAGAGAGAGACAGAGAATGAACAGGGGAGGGGCAGAGAGAGAGGGAGACACAGAATTTGAAACAGGCTCCAGGCTCTGAGCTGTCAGCACAGAGCCCAACGCGGGGCTCAAACCCACGAACCGTGAGATCACGACCTGAGCCAAAGTTGGACACTCAACTGACTGGGCCACCCAGGCGCCCCTATATTTTATATACTTACAGCACATATCAGTTTGAACTTGGAACATTTCAAGTTCTCAAAAGTTGGTTGTAGCTATTACTACCCCACTGGACAACACAAAAGTAGAGGATCCCAAGAAAATTAAAGAAAGGTACATATCTCAACACTGAGAAAAAGTTTCCAATTCACTATCTGTTGACAAACTACTATGCAGCAGCGTATCTGGATAAACATTCCTTATTTCTACTTCGCCGGCCACCACAGTTCCTTTAAATCAATATAATCCCCAGTTCACCATTTAATGTATGCTCTTCATCCCCAATACACATTAATCAACTGACATACACATTATCATTTATATACATTTCAGTGTTACCCTTATCAATTTAAAGTTTCTTAAAAGTAACTATATAGTGTGAGATTAAATTTACTTAAAATTATAACATCTATATTTTGCCAAATCTAGCTTAAATATTTTACCTTCTGTGTTTCAATGTGCTTTTCTAAAATTTCTTGTTTCCTTTTCCTTACATCCTGCTGAAGTTTCAGTGCCTCCTAGAGAAAGATATCAAAATATCACCAGTATACTTACTGTTTATTGTTCTGATAAACAGATATTCCAGAGGAGACAAATGGTTGTGGATGCAGAAGCTTGGCAGTAACAATTAAATGCAAAGTTTTGGTATGCAAAAGTTAACTATGTATGTAAGTTTCTAAGACCAATCAAGAGAACCTTTTGTCCCCCTTCCCAAATTAATATTTACTGCTATACAATGAAAAATAAAAGTTCAGTGGCAGCCAACATACACTTTTCTTTTAGCTCTATTTTGTGATAAGCCTTAAAAAAAAATACACACACACACACACACACACACACACACAGAAAAGCTTTCCTACATGCAAATTTTGTACACTGCTAACTGTATTTACCTGTTTTTTTTTCTGTGCTTCATTATTATCAACTGCAGAGGTGGAAACAAGTAAGGTTTTCTGTGCAGCCTTCAAAGCAGCTGGATTATATACTGTTTTAGTTAGGCCAGTAGATGTAGACAACACCTACCAATACAAATTCAGTTTCTTAAAAAATGTACCAAGCATTCATGATTACCTATCTTGTTTTCTATAAAACTCAATTTTAAAACACTTTTGTCAAAATTCAGTACATTGAAATAAATGTATTATATACATATAATAACTAAAGCACATTTAGTGATTTGAAAGGAAGGGTATGAATGAGGCTTAAACTATAAAATAAAAAAATTAACAGAATATACCTATAGAAAAAAAAGAACATACAAAAACTTCAAATCAAGAAAAAAACACTGACGTGATATAGTCACAAAGCCCTAATCATTTATTTCTTCTACCCAGATCCTTCCATGAAATTTTATTCCTACAGTTACTCAAATATTTAATAAAAATCATCTGATGGTATATTAATTTATGTGTCTCTCTCCCTGTCTACAAAACCATGTTTTTCTCCTCTTTGTGCTTTTTCTAGTACCTAAACCTTATTACCAATAATTATGAGACCCTGGTTAACTTTAGGCACTTTTTTGGGGCCTCAGCTTGCTCATCTCTAAAATGAGAATGTTTAAGTTGATGGCATCTAACGTCCTTACAAATTCAAAAATTCATTCCATGAGGGTAGGGATGTTTGGCTTGGTTTATCACTCTATCTTCAGTGCCTAAAACAGTGCCAGGGCACGTAGTCAATACTCAATGAACACTTCTGCACCAAATTAAACTGAAATGATGATAGATCAAGATGGACAATCTTTTCTACACAAGGGTCAACTCAAGAAAATAAACTGTACAGGCTACCTTTTTTATCCTTCAAAAGCAAAAAGTTGTAGGTTCAATGGAGTGGTTAGTTACTGGTTCTTAGGAGTTTAGAGATCCCTTAAGGGAAATCCATGAATGTTATAAAAACTAAACATGGAACCATATGTGTGAACAGTGTAACTTTCCAGAGGAAAAGAAGTTTCCAAAGAGTTAAGGGAGTTCATGACCTAAAAGAGGTTAAAGGAACTACACAAACAAGATTATCAATGAGAAAAAGAGCCCACCATTTTAGCTAGTAAAATGTAAACATCCAGGTCTATTAGAGAAGTAACAAGCAGACACTATTTTCTAATCATCTATCATACAGTTAGACTAGGGAACATCACAAAGAATAGGCAATTCATCACTGTTCTAAGTAGTCAAGAATGTTTTAGCCTCCATGTGAAACAGAAATCTAGAATACTGTTGGGGTGCCTGGGTGGCTCAGTGACCAACTCCTGATTTTGGCTCAGGTCATGATCTCACAGTTATGAGTTTGAACCCTGCATCGGACTCTGCAGGCAGTGTGGAGCCTGCTTGGGGTTCTCTCTCTCTCCCCCTTTCTCTCTCTGCCCCCATACCTTGTTCTCTCCTCCCCCTCCCCTCAAAATAAATAAACTTTAAAAAAAAAAAAAAAGCTTAGAATACTATTATACTGGTTGCATGCAAGGCAGATGATGTTTAAAAGTAAAAGTTCTTTATAATACTTGACATATATCAAATCTGGTAATTTTCTTATATAATGAAAAGTAATACCCTGACATCACTAACAAATAATGAAATTGTTGCATTCAGTAAAATATGGAGTAAATCTAGAGTTACTTTGCAGTCTGACTTCAGTCACTGTTCTCTGTAACACTAGAGGCAAATTTCTTCCATGCTACCTTACCATACTACACAATGTTAAACTGCAGGATTGTACAAGGATTAGACAGTAACTTCATAAAGAGAGAAACACAACATTATATGCTAAAGACAGAGTTTGAGTGTCTCCTAAACTTTTCTTCACGAGGGTTCCAAGACAAGTTGAAAAGTTGTGACCAAAAAGATTTCTATACTCAAATAAGTTGGAAGTAACAAATATCATAACCCTATCTTCTAGTTTCAAAATGTCTATTACCATAAAAGTTGTGAGAGAGCCTGAAGTAAAGAAACCCATGTAATGCAATCTGTTTAATTCAGCATTCCTTAATTTCAGTATACTCCTTTTTCAAAGTATACTTATTAACTAATATCAGGCTAAGTAAGAAGTGGTGATTCAAAGTAAATAAAAATATATGACAAGCCTCCTTTAAAAGTATCCCACTTCCTTGTTTTATCTAGAAACTTCCTTCTGTACAAACAGAACATCAGCTAACATATTTCATTGAGCTCAAGACAACACTATGAAACACATGATGATAATAAACCGCTATTAAAGACAAAAAGGGTGCCAATTATAACCATGAGCACCAATACCGTAAGATATTCAAGTGTTAAAAAGTGAAAGCAAAATGTCTTAGAAACAATGAACTATATGAATCCAAATACTGCTCAGTATTTGAATCTATTTGATTCCAGAGTTTAGAAAGTAAGAGTATGAATAGCAAGGGACATCTGTATTTTCAAAAGAACAGAGTTGTGATAAAAGAGAAGAAAATCTGTTAAAAATGAAACCAGTGGAATGAAGTAACAAATCCAACAGAAAAGAAGATGCTGCAATTCCGAAGAACAAAGTCAAAGCATAGGCTGTGGCCTTTCAAACAACCACAGTCTCTATTTTCCAAATGAGTTTCTTCATGTGCTATATTTTTATATATTGAACTTGCTGCATTCACCTGTGAATTCCAAAGATTTGTAAATTCTTTTGGATTTTTCACATATACTATCATGTCATCTGTGAGTAAATATAATTTTGTTTCTTCTTTTGCCACCTTTATACTGTTTATTTCATTTTCTTGCCTTACTGAACTGGTTAGGCCCCACCTCTACTGAATAAAGTGGAGAATGGATATCCTTTCTCGTTCCTGATCTCAAGAGGAAAAGTATCCAATAATTCACCATTCAGTATGTTAGTAGATAAAATTAAGGAAGTTTCCTTCTATTCCTACTTTGCACATTGTTTATTATGACTAATAAATTTTATCATATGCTTTTTCTACTGAAATAATCATAAGAGGTTCTTCCCACCCTTCTCCCCCCTAGGTGAATTAAACCAATTTTCAAATGTTAATTCAAACTTGCATTTCTGGAATAAATCCTACCTGGCCAGGATGTATTATCTTTTTTCATATCACTAAACATTTGGTAATATTTAGCTTAGGATCTTTATGTCTACATTCATGAGCTATTGGCTTGTAATTTTCCTTCCTTGTAATATATTTGTCAGGGTTGGTGTCAAAGGTCTGTTGAATTCAAAAGGTGAGCTGAAAAGTATATGCTTCGTTATTAAAATGTACATCACTCATACCTCTTACTTCAAGACAAAAAACAATTCCCTAATAAGAAAGAAGTTGAAATCCATTAATACCTCTTTATCTTATTTCCAATGTAAAATATTACCAGCCATAACTACCATTAGTACTTGTAAAGAAAGAGAAAAACAGATTTTTCTCATGGATAAGAGTGGAAGGGAAAAAAAAAGTGTTTTGTAAAAATTACTAAAAATAGAAGACTTATATATTAAAGTCATCAGTGTTATTTTTGTAATAACTAATGTCCAAGTTGGAATCAAATATAAAAGGAACAGTTACTAAGGTTCACTGTGACAATCAAACTAAGCTAGCTCTAACAGGTTTCTACAGCAGAAATGCCTTGTTTAAATGTAATAAAAAGAGAATATGTGAGGAGTTATGTGTATATAGCTTATTAATACAATTATTGTATGGTCAACTTTTATTATAAGTAAATTATTTTAACAAATCTAAACATTAATATGATATTCTCATAAAGCAGCAAACTGATGTGTTTTTTTCTATAGCAAAAACCAACCTTAATTGGGAATTCTAACGAGAATAGCATTTTACTTTAAAGTTACATTTATAAGGGGCGCCTGGATGGCTCAGTTGGTTGAGCGTCCGACTTCGGCTGAGGTCATGATCTCATGATTCGTGGGTTCAAGCCCCGGGTCAGGTCTGTACTGACAGCTCGGAGCCTGTGGCCTGCTTCAGATTCTGTGTCTCCCTCTCTCTTTGCCCCTCCCCTGAACACACTCTGTCTCCCTCTCTCAAAAATAAACATCAAAAAAATATTTAAAAAATAAAGTTACATTTATAAAATATTTTCAGGGATTAACAAGTTTTTTCCCCCAAGAATATAAGCAGCTTAAGAGACAAAGGGATTAAAGAGCTTACAAAAAACATTTTAATGTCAAAGAAAAAAATGTGTAGTCAGTAATCAATTGCTGCTGCAACAGCTTGATTTCCAATAAATCCAGCATAGCAAATAATTTTATAGAAATCCTATTTCTCCATAAGAAAAATAATCGTAATAATTCTAACTAAATAATCTAGGTAATAATCCTGAGAGAGGTTAATGCATTAAAAAAAAAAAAAATCAGGGGCACCTGGGTGGCTCAGTCGGGTAAGTGTCCGACTTCAGCTCAGGTCATGGTCCCACGGTTCATGGGTTCAAGCCCCTCGTCGGGTTCTGTGCTGACAGCTCAGAGCCTGGAGCCTACTTCTGATTCTGTGTCTCTCTCTGCCATTCCCCTGCTCACTCTCTGTCTCTCAAAGGTGAATAAATGTTAAAAATTAAAAAAAAAAAAAAATCAAAAGTAGGAAATGATCATACATTCCCTTAACCTTTATATTTACAACAGCAAAATTATACAACAAATGCAAATTAAAAAAATCAAAGGGTCACTTAGATGACTGCATTTTATAGCTCATGAAACAGAGGGTAAGACTTGTGCAGGATCATATAGACTGTCAGCTGCTAATTAAACAGCTGCAGTCTCCAAGAGACATGCAATGTTCCTTCAGAATACCACACAATTTCCCTTTCAGAGGTTCCATAGTACATATGTTAACATGTCATAACACAGAGACCAAGATATATTTTCAGATTGCAACAACAACAAAAAAAAGTACTGCTAAGGAACAACAACATCCTGTATCACAAAAGTCTGATACACCTAAAACTGGTCTGACATACAAACATTAAATATTCAAGTGATTAATCACTTGCTTCTTAGTCTTTAGAAGAGCTTTGGGAGATAATCTGGACAGTCTAAGAAGTCTTTTTTCTAGACTAACCAGGATGGGATACACACAAGTGCCACCTTATTCTTGATAAATTGCTCTATCTCTTGACAGGTACTCAAACATCATTTCACTGATCACTCTTTCCAAATAATACCTATTTAACAGCTACTGCAATACCTTAGGATTTAACAGTTATCAATTAGGTTTTAAGTTTCCTCTCTCAACCCTCTCACAAAAATGGAATTCTAGAATAAAGAATCACTCAAGGGTTTACTTAGTGTTGTTCATAGAAAGGGGAAAATCTGTGTATATGTGTACTTCTTTGGTTTAATAACGACAGAAATACTGTATAAATACTAGCTTTGAGTACTACCCAGCCTTCAATTAAGAAGAATAAAAAAAGAATTTAAACAATATTTGATGAGGGAAACATTCTTCTAACCTTCCTAAGACTTCTCTGAAATACTAACCTCTAAGGATTCTTCAGAGAAAACCCCTATAGACTTGGGGAACAGGAACAACCAAGAATAAGCAAAAACAAAACGCTATTCTATAAACGGGTTCCCTGAAGATGACTGAAAGTTACACATTTGTACATTATGGCTTTCCTCAAAAGAGTCTTTACAGTATTTCCTAAGTAATTCTTTTTCACAAACAGCCCACTACTATTAGCGATTTTTCACAAATTTAGTTTTTGGTATCTATATTAGTAAATGTATACTATTGATTCCAAGTTTATATCCCTTTTATCCTAAAGCTATACAAAACACATTTAAAAAAACAAAAGCAGATGCAAACATACCAGAAAGATTCTGTAAAACCTATAATAAGTACACATCAACTTCAGAGTTGAAATCTTAACATAAACAGATGTTAAGCATAAGGTTTTTAGGCCTCTCCAGAATTGCTCAGTACTACACAAAGTATAACAGACTTTATTTTCTTTATTCCTTAGTTACTTATTATCAAGGAAAATAAACCTAATCAAAGTAAATATTTAGATACAGCTAAATTCAGTACAATAGATTAATACATGGACAAATTCACAGAAATAAGGAGGCATGATATGGAAAAAAATTGAAGACTTCATAGAATAAAGAGATTTTTAATCTTTAAAAGAATGATGTGAATCCACTTAAGAGGAAAATGCAATCCAGGAAAATCACCACCAAAAAAAGGAAAAAAAGGCAGGCAAGACTGAGAAACAATGAGCAGAAAAGGGAGCATTAAGGTAGAAAGGAAGGACTAGAGCAGAGGTAACTGCGCCAGAATAACTGAGGTCTGATGAAGTATAAATCAAGCAGTTATTTAGCCGGGGAAATGAAAGTTTCTGCAAGAGTTAACACTGAAGTGAGTCTCCGAGCAGGATGGTGGTAGTAGAAAGTACAGGAGGAACATGCAGCTAGGACACCACAGCTAAAGGCTGGAAACTGAGGGTGGCAGAAAAAGAGAAGTGGGTGACAAACACAAGTGAATGACTCTTGGGCTTTTGAGACAGTACAACTTAGAAAATGCTGATGTAACTTCCACAGGTTGGGGTACCAGAAATTCATTTATGTGGGAAATGGTCATTTCAGGCACATCATGCCTGAAGTATTGCTGAGGTGCCCAAGATGAAAATCGGATATACAAAATTAGATTCAGATTCAAATTTCTACAATTGCCTTAGTTTAACATGGTAAATAAGGAAAAGAATACACTGAAGAACCAGTGGAGAAAGAAAGTCAGCCATCTCATGGGATGCTGGTCTATGGACACATGAAGTCAACTTCCTACATAATCTTAATAATGGAAAGAGCCACGGATGTGAAATAGGAGACCCACATTCCAGTCCTGCCTCAAAATTCCTAATGTATCTATCTGAGCCTTACCTTCCTTTTAAGGTGAGGACATAGAAATGAGAAAGACTACCTAATTCTATTCTGTAATTCCACATACCTCAAATAAGACTAAAGAACAAAAGCATTCACTCATACCTAAATAGAAAAAAAAAAAAAAAAAAAAAAAAAAAAAAAAAAAAAAAAAAAAAACAATAACAACACATCTACACCGAACTGTTAGGTACATAAATAGTCTTAATTTAATCAGTGTTTATATCCTCATTTAAAAAAAGAAATGACAAACTGTCAGGCTATGCACAATAGCTCTTAGTAATAAATAAAAAACTTGCATTTACATCATCCTGTCCAGTTAAATACTTTTAAATCAATCATTTTATTTAATCCTCACAAACCCCATGAGCAAGACAAATATTACAATCATCATTTTACCAATGAGGAAGAAGAATCAGAAAGGTTAGGAGCACTGCCCAATGTCATGCTGTTAGTATGTGAAGAGCCAGAAACTCAAACTCAGGTAAATTCCTACTTTGTGGCCTTTTCTATTAGGCTGCCAGAGTTTTCAAATCAAAATGCACAATATCTCTAAAGAAAATATAGTAAATAAAAAGAAAAAACAAAAAGAAGGAAGCACATGGACACATACTGAAAGGCAGATATTAAAATGCTAATGCAAAAAGTAAACAAAGGCGGGCAAATAGTTTTCTTTTTCAGCAAATGAAAAGCAAAAGGGTAGGAGTAAGAGGTACAGATACTGTTAAGAAGCAAGAGTTTGGAACTATGAAAAAAATTAAAAACTTAAGATGCCACCTGAAAACATTTACGAAGCCAAGACAAACACATCATGCTATTCTTCTTACCTTTTCAGTTGCTGAAACAGATGGCTTTGATACAAAACCCAACCTGTCCTTCACAGATAATTTAGTTACATTCTAAAAAAATTAAAATGGACATATTCAGTGTTTCCCCAAACATATAGGTCTGTTGGGATTTTGAACATTCTGATTCTACTAATTTATACGGACTCTTTTAAGTATTTTGATGTTAATGACAAAAACTTGGGCCATTTTCAAAGTGACAGAAAGAAAATGTGTATGGAAAAACAAACAGTATGCAGTATTACTCAATCATAAAAAATGATGCAGTAAGGTACTTACTAAAAGCCCCCTCCATCAATACAGAATCATAAATTCTTAGAATCCTATGTTGACAAGTAGGAAGTTTGAACATTGTAAATATTAGATGTGAGTATGAGTAATTAAAATATATGACTGCTTCTCGAGCTTAAAAGTAAATGCCATTCTTTCCTAAAGTATGTTTGGTTTGTAGCCAAATATACTGGATCTGGTGATGATTTGAGATCACAGGACTGGGCTTTTTTTTTTTTTTTTTTTTAGTAACTAAGAATTTATCAATTTCCATTCTGCATGTTTTCATAGAATCTCAATACCTCATGCTTCAGGAATTATCTAGGAACACTATTTTAAGGAAGTGGCATCCTATCAACATCCTACTAGCAAATGCTTAAACATCTAGAGACAAAAGAAAGCTAAGTTTCAGACGCTTAGGGTGTAGAAACAAGAAACTGCCACTCAAGTGTGGAAGGGAGGGGAAGGGAATGACATGTGGAGAAGAAAATCTGAAAGTTAGGAATAAGTGATGCAAAGTTCGGAGACTGCTGCATATATAACTGGAAACAGGATAGTATCAAAGCGTGCTTAAACTTGATGGTTTATCCCTTCCCTTCCCAGAAGCTTTTGGTTGAGTTTGGTGTACAATTTTCTCTGGAATAAAATTCTAGTTAAGTAAAAGATGACAGGAAAAATAAGATTTACTACACTGAACTTCATTTTTCAGGCAGTTTTGCTTGAAAAGTACCTCCTCCACAAAGTGAAAGAAAAATAAGTATTAATGAGAGAGAGGAATTTAAAATTCGAATACTACAGGAAAAAGTAGAATATGAAAATGTTATGGTAATGGTAAAAAGAAAATTTACAGGTGGAGTTCAAATATGTACAGACTATGATATTTCTGTATGAAATATATACAATTAACTATAATTCAAATCACAAGGGAAACTAATTTACTGAGAACCTGCTATGTGACAGACACAATGTTAAGACTTTTCATTTACCTGAGGAAGGTCTGAACTGGCACTCTGGGCTTCTGCCGGTTCAATAGTACTTGAAGGTACTGGACCCAACCGCTCTTTGACTGACTGCTTCACAACAGGCAAAATGGGCTGCTGGACTAAGGGCTGCATTACCTCAGAACAAGAAAAAAACGTTAACCAAGAGGATTAGTTCATGAACTTGGAAAGTAACTTTTGCTAGTTTGTTATTAAATTGCCCACACAGATACAGTTTTAAAAGCACAGCTTACAATCAAAACCTGTCTTCCAAATTCCTTCACACATACCCATAAACGCTTTTCTTTGCATAAATTATTTGTAAAGTAGGGGAAAAAAAATTAAAAATCTACCCTTCGCTGTATCTTTTGTATCTTTTAAATGAAAAGGAGAAAGTTAAATCGAGAAACAAATTGCTATAAAACTCTCCTACAGGGGCGCCTGGGTGGTGCAGTCGGTTAAGCATCCGACTTCAGCCAGGTCACGATCTCGCGGTCCGTGAGTTCGAGCCCCGCGTCGGGCTCTGGGCTGATGGCTCGGAGCCTGGAGCCTGTTTCCGATTCTGTGTCTCCCTCTCTCTCTGCCCCTCCCCCGTTCATGCTCTGTCTCTCTCTGTCCCAAAAATAAATAAAACGTTGAAAAAAAAAAATTTTAAAAAAAAAAAAAAAACTCTCCTACAAGCAATTGATCTAACTTTACAGACTGATTGGCTCAATGACTGAAAAACAGAAAGAGGGAAGGAAGGAGGGAGAGAGGAAGGGAAGGATTTCCAAGATGAACGCACAGTCTGAGTTTCTGGAAAATGTATATAGCTGCCATATACTGAGTGTCTACTGCCTACCAGGGACCTTTCTCTAACTTAGCATCCTATAATTGTCTAAACTAGGAATTCACTTCATAATAAAATGAGAGAACAGGTTGGAGACATTAAGTAACTTCCTTTAGTCTCTACAGCCAGCAGTGGAAGAGCCAGAATCTGAACTCAAGTCTACCTGACTGCAGTAACTCTGTTCTTAAACACTATGCTAAGAGCTTTCTAAGGAAAGCACTGAATTTCACACAAATCTCTCTCCTACCTTTGGAGAAGTAGTTTGTAACTGCTGGGTACTTCCTTCTCTGTGCCAATAAACCTTAATAAAGCGATTGTTTAGTACTGCTTCTGTACTTGATATTGCTTTCTTTGCTTCTTCATATGTTGCAAATTGGATAAGGGCACCTTCAGGATCCCCATTATAAGCAACCTAAGATTTAAAATATGAAGAACACTGAATTACAAATGAATCCAGTGCTTCATCCAATAAAATTCCTCAAGAGATGAGATTCTGGTCCTTCCCGGTACTATTCTTTGTTTACCCTTTCTTTAAAGCTAGATTATTTACCATGGTTTACTTTCACTCCAGAAGAAAGGTAAACTGAGTACTGTTCAGAATAGAACCAGAGCCTCCTCTATGTAATACTTTGTAAAGAACGCTCATTGCACAAATGTTATATACAAGCAATCAAAACGTTTCATTTTTTACCCCCAATATTAATACTGAGAAATAATCCCTATATCAATGAGTGATGAGGCCAAGATCCAGAGTCAGGAGAAGCCAGTAAACTACCTTGAAAGAGGTGACTCTAACTAAAAATTACAGAAAAATCCATTTGTAAAAATTTCCATATTCGCAGCTGTCAAAAAATATTTCCAAGAGTGTGAGAAAATTTAAGGGGGGGAAGGGATTTACATAACAATAGCAATTACACTTTACACATAAAGAAAATGAGATTCAGAGTATGTGAGTCTGCAGATCCATACAAATAACAGGTAACAGATCCAAGGCTTTTCACTTCAAATTTCTTGTTCTCTCAGTAATAGTAGTGTTTTCTAAAGTGTGGTACACAAGTCATTGGTAGTGAAGCAATACAAAATAGGGACTAAGAGCACAGACTCTAAATCAAATTGCATGACTCAAACCTTGACTGCTATGTTCATGGGAGACCATGAGCAAGTTATTTAACCTGTGACTGTTTCCTCTTCAAAAATGGGATAACAATACCTTACTCTGTAGTGTTAAGAATCAAATAATAATTTATATAGAACAGAGAATATATAGTAAGTATTCAATAAATATTTACTTTTACAAGGGTGATTTTAGGTAGCATGTTAATAATCATACATTTACTGGAATTTAAAACTTCAATTTTACCCATAGGCCTAATCAGAATAAAGTTAATTTTTAAATGATTTTTAAAAACATGTTTTGCGGGGCGCCTGGGTGGCGCAGTCGGTTAAGCGTCCGACTTCAGCCAGGTCACGATCTCGCGGTCCGTGAGTTCGAGCCCCGCGTCAGGCTCTGGGCTGACGGCTCAGAGCCTGGAGCCTGGTTCCGATTCTGTGTCTCCCTCTCTCTCTGCCCCTCCCCCGTTCATGCTCTGTCTCTCTCTGTCCCAAAAATAAATAAACG